CCCTACCACTTCGTCACAAGCGCACTTTACACAAGGAGATGCTGTATGTGAGAATGATGCAGAGGAAGCCTTTTCTCCACCCACAGCACAAACAGAGCAGCTTGAGGTCTGCTAAAGCACATTTGGACAAGCCAGCTTCATTTGGAATAAGGTGCTGTGGACTGATGAAACGGAGTTATTTGGGCATAACAAGGAGCGTTATACATGGAGGAACAAAAACACAGCAATCCAAGAAAAACACCTGCTACCCACAGTAAAACATGGTTGTGGTCCCATCATGCCGTGGGCTGTGTGGCCAGTGCAGGGACTGCTTTTCTGCAGATTCTGGAGACCAATGTCCAGGAATCAGTGGCAAAGCTGAAGCAGCATCAGGGCGGGATCTTTCAACAAGACAACGACCCTAAACACTGCTCATTATCTACTAAGGCATTCATGCAGAGGAACAAGTAGAAGGTTCTGGAAAGTTCTTCTCAGTCCCAGACCTGAATATTATTGAAAAGCTGTGGTGTGAGTTAGAGCTGTCCATGCTCAGAAGCCATCAGACCTGAATGAACTGGAGATGTTTAGTAAAGAAGAATGGTCCAGAATACCTTCAGCCAGAATCCAGACTCTCATTAGGTTCTATAGCAAGCGTTTAGAGGCCGTTATTTCTGCAAAAGGAGAATCTACTCTTTTATGCTTCTGCCCAATTATTTCACACTTTCTGTAAATCCTATAAACTTTGTTTCACTTCTCAAATATCACCGTGTGTGTGTCCTATATGATGTATTTAACAGAATTTTATACAGGAAAATCCTGAAGATTAACAAGGCTGTCCAAACTTTCACATCCTACTGTATCTGTTTAATTGTTCTAAATGAAATAATGTAAAATACGCTTAAGTATTTGCTAATTACAACTTTCTTATAATTAGAGAGGTTCTGTTGCTTAAACATGATGTATTATTAAAAAATAGTAGGTTTACAACAGAATTAAGTAAAGATGCAAATCAGCAGTTCTAATATGGCATTATGTCAGATTCCCTTAGCTTTCAATCATTTCTTCTTCTTCGTCAGTAGTGTTGGATGGCGGGGCAGCCTGCACCCACTCCACTACGCTCAGCTATGGTAGAAAGTCTTCACATCAGGGTAGCCTGTTTTTTTCTGTGCTCAACTAGTCGTTTTTCTCAGCCCTTTTCTCAAGGTGGTCTGCTGCGGGCTGAACCGTCCCAACACCGCCACAGCCGACTGATTGTCTGGCTCAAATTCATGCCTACTAGCAGAGGCGATTGGCAGGTCAAATCAGCCAGCGGGACTTCCTGCATGCATGGAGAGTAACTATCTTCTCTGACTGAGGCATCTGTCTGAGGAGCACACACACACACACACACACACACACACACACACACACACACACACACACACACACACACACACACACACACACACACACACACACACACACACACACACACACACACACACCACACACACACACACACACACACACACACACAAGCACACACACACACACACACACACACACACACACACACACACACACACACACACACACACACACACACACACACAAGCACACACACACACACACACACACACACACACAAGCACACACACACACACACACACAAACACACACACACACACACACACACACACACACACACACACACACACTGCAGAAGCGGCGAATGTTTCTCTACTGCCAACTCTTGAGGTATACTGTTACAATACAGCTGCTTGAGTTTGGTATTCCTCAAAAACATAAGATATCTCCAGTCACGTTTCTCACCTGCAATAAGCTCACCTGTCCCTGTTTAGCAATCACTTCTTCTGAGTATAATAGTTCTCCGGTTCATGCTCTACTTGTCAGATCCTGTTTCTTCCTCGTGACAGTTTCTGCTGTTTCTTTTTGTTTTCTATTATTAATAAAATACTTTTTACTTCAGCTGCTGTCTCGTGGAGCTGTCACCATTGGTCCTTCAACAACCTGCACTGGGACTGCTTCAGTTTTAATCTCTGTAGTGGAATATAGTTGGTATATTCTTACACTTATTAAGGTACAGAGGTTAACCTTACCTTAGAATCAGAAGAGGTTGTTTTACCACAGGGAATTCTATTCAAACACTTTGTATTGACATAGAGACAAGAAAAGAGAAATATGGGACGTTTAAGAATATTTATTTTATAATTATTCGAAACAATCACCAGGACTAACTCTCTAATGATGGATGCAGATGGATGTGATGCTAAAGTGTTGGTGTGTGTGTCAGTTCAGAATCTCCATCTGGTACGAGGCGAGACTGAGGGCAAGATGTTGTTTTGACTAACTAACCACGAGGGACTTCAGGAGGAAGAGACATGAAACGCCATCTATGCCGATCTACGTACCTTCGGAGACTCCCGTGTATGATCCGGAATGCCAGGTCCTCGGACCCTCCTTTGGTGCCGGAACTGATAGCACAGCGTCTGCAGCACGACAAACCAGTCTACCACTCCCAGTAGCAACAGCAGGTGTCAGCGTCACGTAGAGAGTTCAGCTTTTATTCTGAAGGAACCGTTGTCTTGTTGATAAAACGACAGAGTTTTCCAGTTTGACAGTTCTCAGCTTAAAAGTAGAAAATACAGCTGGCCAGTCTGCACTTCACTTAGCGATGATGGATTTGAGAGCTGGTCGAACTCACGTTGGAACTTGCGGTGGAACAGAACTAAAAATGGCGTGGTTCTGTTTTATTAAGCTTAGATGTTTATGAATCATAGCCAATCGGAGTGGACAGATTAACTAAACACCACAGAACTCTGCCCCGCAACAGAACGGAAGTTCTGATTGGATGAATGAACAATGTGTCATGTGTTTATCTTATGTGGATCAGGGTGTCTAGCTCAGTTAGTCCTGTTATTCATTAAAACACATAATCATAACATTGTGATTTCACAGATCAGTCACCTGATTATTATTGACCAACAGTTGTTTTGATTAGCTTTATTAAGCTACATCTCCGTTTATGAAAATCCCAAAATGATCTGAAGAGATCAGATGAATTAGAATTTATTACAAAGTCCAACAACAACCAATTTCTACTGGAAGCCAGAGTAAGTCCAGCAGAACTGAGACCTAAAGCTGGTCTAGCTGTCGGATCGGGGCTCCACCAACATAAGTGTGAGTCCATCTATAGCTCAGTGGGATAAGACTTAGGATGCTCTGGAGTCAAGAAGGGCAGCAAAGAAGCCGCTTCTGTCCTAGAAACCTGTCAAGGACAGACTGGTGTTCTGGTAAAAGTCCAGGGATTGGACTGCTGAGGACTTATGGAAAGCCATTTTCTCAGTCAGAATCTAGACCAGAAGCTGAAGGCATGTCAGGGTGAACTACAGTGATCTAGAAGGACCAACGCTGGAGATACAGATTCTTTGGGTCTATTGTATGTAATTATTAATGAAAAACCTGTAAACAACTGTAATTCTAAGTCAGAGTAGCATGTATGATGATGACAGAATGAATACTGGCCCTGAATGGTTGTTGTCATTTCTGGTGTACAAACGGTTTTCTGTGTTTAAGAGGAGTCTCCATGGCTCTCTGCTGTGGGACAAAAAGTTTCCTGAAGAACTAAAACTCATGTCAGCCAGAAAGCTCACTAAAGACGAACACACATCACACCCAGGATGTATTTTTACATTTTCCAATAAAAAAAACTATTTTTGGTGATTGTGGCGCTTGTTTTGAACATTTAAAGCCTCACTGCTGAAAACGGGACATTCCTTCTGGACAACGTGCTGGGAAATATTTCAGCATCTTGTTTCCCAAGAAACTTGTGGTTCTCTTGTTAAACGTTAAAATAATCAGTTTTATGTCTTGTTTACATGGTTCTAGCATTTTTCCCAAGAAGTTGTTTATTTGAAGCACCATTTTTGTGGTTTAATATCAGGTGAACATCTGCAAGTGAACTAAAATTCATCCACTCATCCGCTTCAGTTCACCTCTTCAGACCTCTCCTCAGTTACCTCCTCCAGCTCCTCACTGCTGAAAACGTTCTGGACAACATGCTGGGAAACATTTGAACATCTTGTTTCCCAAGAAACTTGTGGTTTTCTTGTTAAACGTTAAAATAATCAGTTTTATGTCTTGTTTACATGGTTCTGGCATTTTTCAAGAAGTTGTTTATTTGAAGCACCATTTTTGTGGTTTAATATCAGGTGAACATCTGTAAGCGAACTAAAATTCATCCACTCATCCGCTTCAGTTCACCTCTTCAGACCTCTCTCTCCTCAGTTACCTCCTCCAGCTCCTCCAGAGGGACTCTGAGTGATTTCCTGATCAGGTGTGAGATCTAATCTCTGCAGCAAGTTCTGGGTTGCCCTTACCACGCACCCAAACCACCTCAACCAGCTTCTGGTGATGAGGAGGAGCAGCAACTCTCCTCTGAGCTTCTCCTGAACATCTGAGTTCTTCCCTATTGACTATTAGTTCCCAAAGTTGGGGTCAGGACTCGAGGTCAACTGTTTTCTTTTGCTGATTCCGATCGTGGTCAGCCGATGGCCAAATTGTGTTGCACATTTTTTGGGTTGATTTTTCCACCTCTTCATGCTAAAATGTCACTAATAACACCAGTTTCTGCACAAACTTCCTGAAGCTGAATCCATTTTTTAACACCAAATCTAACCAACTGTTAAATCTTGAGGACTACTCGGTGTGAAAGCCAGACATCTAACTAAAGTTAACCCAACACAGCAAATAACTGACCAAGTGTTAAATATCCAAAACGGGGCAGAACTCAGTGTCCATTGCCACGGCGAAATGTAACGAAGTTTTCATCTGAAAATGAACACGACAAGGAAACAAAAAGCATCCCATAAAACCAGCAGGAGGAAACATTTGGGATTCATTTGTGGCTGAAATGGAACTCAGCCCGAACCCACATGGTCCAGTTTTACTGCAGCTCACAGTAAGATGAAAGGCTGTGGTCAAAGGAACACACACTGGCTGTTATTTTTATGCTCTGTAATCACACTCACACTCGCATGCTCTCTCTCTCTCTCTCTCTCTCTCTCTCTCTCTCTCTCTCTCTCTCTCTCTCTCTCTCTCTCTCTCTCTCTCTCTCTCTCTCTCTCTCTCTCTCTCTCTCTCTCTCTCTCTCAGGAGGGGGTGAGGGAGTGCTGAAGCATCTAAAAGGCACTGGGAGGAGCAGGAGCTCCATTAGACAGAACTTTCTCCTCTGTGAGCCAGCCTCCTGTTGGGAGAGAACGATCCAGACAAACCTCCTCACATCCAGAACACCGCTCCGGTCCGGTTCTGCTCACCCTGGTCCTGCGGGTCAAGTGTCTGGTTCAATACCTCAGAACAAGGTGAGTTGTGCTTCTACTACATTCATTTCTGCAGAGCTGGATGAGTTGGTGTTTCACTGAAACACCTGAGACCGAGAAAGATTCTCTATCAGGAGGAATGTGAGGCTGGAGTCTGAATATCTGCTTCGCTGTAGCAGCCAGCCAAGATATTACAGATTATAATCAGCGTCCAAAAACATTTTATATCTAACAGCTGCTCTTTTATTTAATATAATTGTTCAAAAAAGACAAAGTGGGTTGCAGAGATCCCTTATCTGAGGGTTCAGAATCCCTTTGGGTCAGTTTACTTCTGCATTATAAATCTGTTACATTAATAATAATAATAATAATAATAATAATAATAATAATAATAATAATAAATGACCCGTGGTCTCTGAAACCTTAAAGGAGGGCTGTTCACCCTGCTACTTTTACTTTACAGCCATCTGAAATGTGTCTCTTTATTTTCTCATATTTGATTTTTATTTGATATTTAGAATTAAACTCTAAATTGACTTTTTATTTGAAAAGTGTATTTTTAAAATAATTGTTTGAAACTAAAGGCTGTAGAATGCAGCTGTTATGACTGCACCCTGGTCTCTGGGAGGTTTAAGGGGAGATAGTGGAAGGTGTGTGAACAAACATTGTTCTGGGGAAGTTTAGGATTTCCCAGTAGCAGGAAGTCACGACCAACTACGGAAATTCCTTGTCCAGACTCAGGTGTGTCTCACACCCGGACTCAGGACTCAAGATGGTGCTTGTCCTGCTGACTGAGAAGGTTGCATGAAAGCGTGTAAGGACCTGAGGCCTTTAGGAGCTACAACAATAGTGACTCACTGGGAATGAGCCCTAAACGGTCCGATGACGAGCTGCTATAAAAGTGCTGCTGCACGAGCTGATGTGTACACTTGGAGAGGTTTTAGGAAGCGCTGCAGGGCAGCAGGGGCTGTCTGCAGCCTGTCAGCCAAAACAAGGTTCCTCAAGGACCTCCAGCAGCCTGCCCACTGCTCCGGCTGGTGTCTGTTGACTGGAGACTGAAACCATTTCCTGTTTCATTCCAGCTGCTGTGGCTGCTCAGTGTTTACGAGCCCGCTTTAGTAAAGATGAATTGTTTGTGTTTTTTTTCTAAGAGATCCGTGAAGATGCCGCTGCCTTTTGTCATCCTTCAGCTGCTTCTGGCTCCAGCATTCACGGTAAAGCCTCTACTAATAATCCACCTATCTGAGAAACTCACATTTACTTTTTTCTCACTTGTGCTCATTCATAGATATTCTCATCTCGGTAAAACTGTCTGATCAGGATAGAATTTATGGTGTTGAAATGTAATCTAAGGTTCATCAAAGAAAGCTCGGTTACAGTACCTCAGACAGGGGATCTCTTCACCCCGCTGTTTATTTTCATCAGTTTACAGTTGTCTACTTTTACATTTTAGCTGATATTTAGTTGAAACCCTCCACATTAAAGGTGGAATATGGAACACAAAAACTATGACGACATCTAGTGTGTGGAGGTTGTAGTTGCAACAGTAGAACAAGGTTTCCAGCCATCAGGCTCGTGAAGTGTTATATCTGGGTCCGCCTGTCATAGACTTCACTTAAACTAACAACATCTTCTGGGCTCAGAAGCAGCTGCTTGACTTGCCGAGACTGCAATTTTCCACAGTGCCAGCCTCGCTGTGCTGAGCGGACTGTTTGACAACCCGCAACGGTGCCCTCTATTGGCTGGTGGATGTAAACATAAACCCAGTGTCATGCCGTTTCATTATTTTTCTAATTAAAATAAAGCTTTTAACTGTAGCTTCATTCTGCACAACTCTAAACACCCCGTGGAGGTTTTGTTTCCAAAACATATAGTTTTTTATTAAAGTGTTCCATATTCAACCTTTAATGTTTACATTTCCTCAGCATGTAGTTGGTTAAAGAGCAAGTCACCCCCAAATAAACTTTTTTTTGCTGATAAACTAAATAAACGAGTGTCTAATCGTGCTGCAGACACGTGTCGTCAATAATTTGGCACTTCAGTACATCTTAGTTCAAATTTAAATATTCTGCCTAAAACTGGCAGTGTTGTGCCGTCGTCAGGTAAAAACTCTGCACTGTATTTTAATTTAAATCTGCCACCGCTATTGGCTAAGAAGTATGCTATGATGTAAACTGGTACATTATGATGTCACAATGCCGTT